TATATATATATATCTTCCTTTTTTTGTAGAAATAAAAATCTTTATAGTAAACAAGACGAAAATATTTTGTTTTTATCATTTTTTTCAATTTTCACTTTTTTCTCTTTTCAATTGATTTGTTTCTATCAATATAGATTAGCTTTAGCCTTAGTTTAAATTATTTTTTATCTTTTTTTTTAGAAATTAGAAAAAATTAAAAGGAATTAGAAAAAAATTAGAAGGGATATGAATTAAAATCATTAAACATATTTGTAGAAATGGACAAAAGTTTTAACAAACCAGAAGAATAGGACGCTAAAGATATTTGCGGATTCCCTAGGGCTTTTCTTCATATCGCTTGTGTCCTTATCCATGTTGTCTGCACTATCGAAAATTCTACAGTCGACGACACTTCAAATTCAAGAAAAAAAAAGTTTAAACGATCAGATCATTCTTATTTTCACTTTTTCTATCTCTTTCTCGATCTTTCTCCTTCTGTTTCTTGCCGATTCGAGGCACTCTTTCCAATAGTCGATCCTTTACTGAAATCATCAGTAACTGTGTCGCTGCTTTTCATATCGACTTTAGGCATTACTGATAATAATGTACAAAAAAGCATTAACGATAACTGTCCCGTATGTTGTACAAACGCAAGTACGTAATACATGCTTCTTGTGTTTTTTTTTTTTACATTGATTCTTATAACAAAATTGTATTTGTTACTAACGTAACGATAATTAAATTAATAATAATATTAACATCATAAATGAAATTAAAAATTTGAATTTAGCAACTTTTTGATGAAAATTTAATTGAAAAGAATTTAAGTAGAGAGGTAGACATATCTTCTGTCAGCAGTTTGAGAAGAAAACTTTATTAGAATAAAATTATAAATTTCAATTGTTTCAATTTTATTTGTTACGTTATAACATAGAACTAATATTACTACTGCTTTAAATTAATTAACTTTCAAATTATAATATTAGCAATGCATAGCATATAAATGATTTCTTTCGATAGTAACGTCGCTATCACAAAAGAGGAATAATAATAGAGTTAATACACAAGAAAAAGGCTCAATTCACTTAACTTGTGAAACGATATTATAGACAGAAATTGAAAAATGTAAATAAAAAAAATGTAATAAAAAAGAAATAGCAATGGTTTACTCATTCTTATATATTTTTCTTGTACTTTGGTTAATTATTTACATACAATATCTCATTCGACGCGAGCGTGCATCCACATTCTTTCATTTCTTAAAATTACTATACGTACATAATATTTAATAATTTACTGTACAACAATGTTGTAAATATCTTATAATATAGCACAATGTAACAATAATGTATAATTAATTATGTGAAGAAATGGAACAGTTTCTAGTACAAAGGATTAACAATGGAGTACTAATAAAAACTATTCCAAAATTAATCCTAACTATCGAACATATAAAATTAACCATTTACAAAAAATATATTTACGCAAATTTATACATAGCATTTGCTTTAAGCACAATTCCATATCAATAACGAATTATATGTATGTACACTATTGTATAACTCTGCTATGTTTACTAATATAAAGTATATTTTAATAATATATTTAATTATAATTATAATAGTAATGTAATAATAATATAATATAATTATAATAATATGATAATAGCAATAATAACAATAATCTAGTAATATGCAAGTATAATATAATAATATAATAATATAATAATATAATATACAATAGTATTATAAATAGTACTAAAATTAATTACTTGTAAAAATATATTATATTACCGGAATATCATTAAGATTGACAAGACATGTGATGCTATTATTATATGATGTATTAGTATACAATATATTAAGTATATTATATCACTTATTATACTTTCATCGTGATACCTACCAAAATAGGATGGTAGGTTCTAAAAGCTATATTGAATTTTTATATTTTAATAACTAAACATGTATAACTGTAGTAGAACTGTACTGTAGTAAACCACCATAAAAAACCAAATATAAAAAATTTTAATCAAATACATTTTATATCATTAGATTATACAATATAACCGTCATTATTCACGATCATCATTTAAACCGATTTTCGAACTTCACGAATGCATTGTCATATAAGATATTTCTTTCCATTTTAAAATAGTTAGAGCGAACTCATCAAAATCACGTTAGCATATATTAACGATTTCAAAGTCAATAATAAACGTAAAAAATTAAATTGTACTAAAAATGGAACTAATTGTAAAAATAATAGATATATAAAATGGGAATAATAAAATGATAATAGAATAATAATAATAAAAATAGAAATGAAATTAATAAAAAGAATTCAAGCAATTTTAACTTAGCAGCTTGGTAAAATGATCACAGAGCTCGAGAATCGATTTAAGCAATATATCGCGAATCACGATGAATATATTAACTCCAAAAGTATAAAATATATTTAACTGAACGATTAATACTTAATTTTTATATGCTATTTACTACGTTGTTCTACCATATGTTTTACATCTTTAGTCATTAAAGTACAAAAACTGCACACGGTCTTTAGAATTATCCCGTTTTTATATATTATATGCTTTTATAGCAAGTACATGATTGCATCGATAAATGCAATTTACAAAAAAAGTATTTGAGCTTCTTTCTGCATTTTTATATGTCTAACAAAGATCAACTACAATAAGTAAAATTAAGTAATAATTCCGATAAGTATATCAGTTAAATTGGAGTAATTCTTTTGTGTTAATTAACGTAAAGTATTTAGTATT